TATCTATCTATCTATCTATCTATCTATCTGTCTATCTATCTATCTATCTATCTATCTATCTATCTATCTAACTATCTATCCAACAACTGACCCTTGAAGACGATACAGGTATGGTAACCCTGGTATCCATCAGCCTCACAGCCGTCATTGAGCAGCTCAACGTTGTAGTTGAAGAGGTGAGACTGGCCGCTCAAGTTGCTTCTCACTTCAGTCTATCCCCCAAAAAAAGAAAACAGAAAAAAAATATTAAAGAACAAATGTTAACACTTTGCGGTCACTTGGTGCAATAATGCGACGGTGAAACTTATACCTTCCGGTCACCTGGAGCAGTTCTGAGCCAGGCCCGAGAAGATCGTTACAGTCACTCGTCGCCTGGCTGGGTGACCAGATGGGATATTTTATACTGTTGGCCGGGTGACCAGATAGGGTATTTTGTATTGCTGTCTGTGTGACCAGATGGGGTATTTTGTATTGCTGGCGGTGTGCCTGCAAAGTGTTAATGTAGGTGTTTTTAAGCCCCCATCAACACAATTGTGTTCTATTAGGAGTAGGAGGAGGGTTTCTGACCCATCTTGCCAAAGCCTATCCGGGCACGAAAACGGAAGCTCTTTGACGATATCTGCGGGGAAATGTGGAAAGGTAAGTCGAGTGAAGAATCATAGAAACTGATGTACAGAAAGTGGGGGAAGACATGGAATAACATCAAGTGGCTAGAGAAAGGTGGAAAGTGTTTGTTTGTGGCCTATACCCTGATGGAGGGTGAGAAAGTGTTTGTCCATGGCCTATACCCTGGTGGAGGGTGAGAAAGGGATACACCTAGCCTCCACACACGCTCCATCACTTACAGTTCGAGATATCTGCGACAGAAGAAGGTGAAGGTCGCCTGTTGTCCGAGTACAATTAGCGAGAAATAAATGACCGCCAAAGTTTGGTGACTTTCAAAGCTAGAGTATCCTTGAAAACAGCAAATTTACTTTTTTGTTCATTTGATCAACGTTTTTCAGTAAAAATCCACTCAGTAATGAGTTTTTAAGTGGACACAAAATGTATTGAGCCAAAAATAAAAACGATAAAAATGTGTAACGGCTGGGAAAATGTCGGGTTCTTCGACGTCACAATCAAGACGAACGCCTGAATTTACCACAGCGGGTGGTTGGAGGGCGGTACTGGTAGGTCATAACTCTTTACTTTCTCTCTGTTGTTTCTGTCTGCCTGTCTTACTGTTTCCCAG